GTGGTGATGGCGGTGGTGGTGGGTTGCAGTGGTGGTGGTTTGGGGGTAGTGTGGTGGTGGTTTGTGGTGGTGGTGTCGGTGGTGGTGGTGGTGGATTGTGGTGGTGGCGGTGGTTTGTGGACGAAGAGCTTGTGGTGGTGGTGGTGTCGGTGGTAGTGGTGGTCGTGTGGTGGTTTGTGGTGGTGGCGGTGGGTTGTGCTGGTGGTAATGGTGGTGGTTGTGGCGGTGGTGGTGGTGTAGTAGATTGTGGTGGTGGTGGTGGTAGTGGTGGTGGGTTTTTGTGGTGGTGGTGGTGATGGTGAGTTTCGGTGGTAGTTGTGGTGGTGGTGGCTGTGGTGGTGGTGGTTGTGTGGTGCTGTTGGTAATGGTGGTGGTGGTGGGTTGAGGCGGTGGTGGTGGTGGTAGTGGTGGTGGTAATCGTCGATGCGTCCCCGCCGTCGCCGGCGCCAGCGCCGGCGCTGCTGGCCGCCGCCAGCGTCGGCGTCGAGAAGGGGGGGGCGGGTTTGACCCCCCCCACCCTTGGGAGGGGGGAGGGTTGAAACTTCCCCCCCCCCCCCTTGGGCTGCCTCTGGTCATCGTCGCTGCGTCCCCGCCGTGGGCGCTGCTGGCAGCCGCCAGCGCCGGCGCTGGCCCCGAGGTGGGGGGGAGGGGGAGGAGGTTTGAACCCCCCACCCCCCGGAAGGGCGGCAGGGGGTTCTGGAGGAGGGGGTTTGGCGGGGAGGGGAGTCCCCCTGGTTTTGATCGACGGCGCCGAGTGTTGGAAGGGGGGAACCCACCCCCCGGTTTGAAACGCGCCGCCAATTGTTCCCAAGGCAAGCGCCCGTGAAACGCGTTCTCTCATATAGAAATGCAGACATACATACATATATACATACATACATACATACATACATACATACATACATACATACATACATACATGCATACATGCATGCATGCATGCATACATACATACATACATACATATGTACATACATACATACATACATACCAACACAAATACAGACCTGCGTCTATGTGTGAATATGAAGGCATACATACACATACATGCATATATGTGTTCACACACATATGTACGTATACACAATCACAAGCACCTGCATAGGTGCGTAGACTGGCACGCATGCATGCATACACACATGCGTACATACGCACATGCATCTATGCATGCATGCATACATGCATACGTACGCACACAAATACTTACAAGCATACATACATGCATGCAAACAGACATGCATGCGCGCATGCATACAAGCCGTTATACATGAATGCATGCATGGATACGTGCATGCGTTCATACATACATGCATCCATAATTGCATGCATGCATGCATGTATGCATTAAACACGTACATACATACATAAATACATGCATACATACATACATACATACATGCATGCATACATACATGCATGCATACATGCATACATACATAGATACGTACACACGTACATACATACATACATACATACATGCATGTTTGCGTACGTGCATGCATGCATACGTACATACATCACACATATTCATACATACATACATACATACATCCATACATACATACATACATACACACATACATACACACATACAGACATGCATGAATGCATGCATGCATACATACGTACCGACCAGCGGGCCGATCTACCAGCTTACCTACAGACATAAGTATACATAGATACACGCTCATACATACGTACATAAAAGATACAGCCAGTCAGCCAGCTAGCCAGCCAGCCAGGCAGACAGACAGACATGCATACATAATACATGCATGCATACATGCATACGGACACACACACACAGACACACACACACATACATGTGCATATATGCATACATAAATGCACGCTCGCACGCACGCATGCATACTGACATGCATACATGCATACACACATACATACAGCCATGCTTACACACATACATACAAATACACACATACATATACAAATACATACATACACACACGTACATCCATACATGCACACAAACAAACAAACTAACAGACATACATACATACATGCATACATTCATACACGTATATGTTACAGAAATTTGTATGTACACACGCACGGACGTACGCACGTGCATACATACATCCGTACAGGCAGACAGACAGACAGACACGCATACAGAATACATACATACATGCATACATACAAATACACACATGCATATACACACATGCATACACACATACATCAATACATGCACACACACAAGCAAACAAACTGGCGTACATACATACATGGATGCATTCATGCATACACGTATATGTTAACTATAAATGGGTATGTACATACGCACGGACGTACGTACGTACATCCATACATACATACATACATACAGACAGACAGACAGACAGACAGACAGACAGACAGACAAACAGAAATAACCATATGCATATCCACCGCCTGGGGGAACGACGTCCTGGGACCCCAGCGGGCGGTGGATATGGACACATTTGGGCCGCGAAGGGCCCGAATCTATCCATGTCGACCGCCTGCCGAAAGCCCCGAACATAGATCCTCAGGGCGGCGGTTATGGATAAATCCCCGCTCCTGGGAAGACCAAAAGGCACCGATACCGCTACTCCCCGGACCTCTCCCGGGGTGCGTTCTGATCAGGATCTCGAGGCGACTTCAGCGGTGGCGACGAGGGCCTCCCAAGACTCCCAGAAAAGGGAGAAACGAGGTCGGAGTAGATGGGGTCGGAGGATCGCGCCACATCGTTGATACATCGGCGTTGTATCAGCGATGTATCGGCGACGCATCGGCCATGCACTGGCGACGTCGGCGGTACATCCGCGACGTCGGCGCGGAGAAAATTGGGCCCACATCGAGCCGCATCGGCGATGCATCGGCGATGCATCGGCGATGCGGCGCGATCCTCCGACCCTATCTACTCCGACCCCATCCAGGAGGCCTAGAGGTGTCGGCACCTGTTCCTCCTCTAAGCTTCGGAGGATCGATATCGAATCGAACCCGTCGGATCGAAGCGAGCACCGCCTCGGGATCCGACCCCATCTGGGAGGCCTAGAGGTATCGGCACCTGTTCCTCCTCTAAGCTTCGGAGGATCGATATCGAATCGAACCCGTCGGATCGAAGCGAGCACCGCCTCGGGAGGTCCCCGGGGCCTCGCACCCCGCGCGCGCCGCGCACGGGCCCTGCCCAAAAGGGGGCCCCGCGGCCGCGGCCCCCTCCCGGGCGGCCCCCCTCGGCCCGCCTACCTTCCCTGAGATCTCGAAGAAGGACTCTTCCGCCTCCTCCTCCTCCTCCTCCTGCTCCTCCTCCTCCTCCTCCTGCTCCTCCTCCTCCTCCTCCTGCTCCTTCTCCTCTTCCCTCCTCCTCCTCCTCCTCCTCGTCCTCGTCCTCGTCCTCGTCCTCGTCCTCGTCCTCGTCCTCCCTCTCGTCATCATCATCCTCGCTCCTTCCGTCTATCCTCGCTCCTCCTCGCTCCACCTCGCTCCTCCTCCTCCTCCTCCTCCTCCTCCTCCTCCTCCTCCTCCTCCTCCTCCTCCTCCTCCTCCTCATCATCATCCCCCCTCTGATTGGGCATAAGAGGACCCCTAATCCTTTGGGATGCGACCTAAGTTAGGAGGGCCAGGAGAATCAGGGATAGTGAGTCTGTTCTGCTGGTGTATCACACCAAACCGCCCAGATTCATTACATCCCGAATGCAAAGACGGAGACCTCCGAGAGGCCGCGTCTCTCACTATCTCACCAGGGTTAGAGGTTCCCTTTCTATCCTCGATACGAAAAATGTACCGATACCGCTATCCTTCCCTTGCCTGCGCCCCTGGAGGCCTCCTGGGAGGCCCTCGTCGCCATGGCCGGAGTCGCCCCGAAGCCCTGGGCAGAACGCACCTCGGGAGAGGTCCGAGCCGTGTGGCCCCCAGCCCCGCGCCCCCCGCGCCACGCCGCGCACGGAGTCTCGCGAGCGTCCCTCGCCCCCCCCCCCCCCCCTGCTGCCCCGCTGTCTGTTGGGGCGGAAGCCTCCGGGAAACTGCTGCATCGCAGCGCGCATGGGGAAGAAGACACAAGCCGGAGCGCTGACCTGAGGAACCCTAAATAAGGAGCGAGGCCCCCTTTCCTCCAGAAGTTAAACTTCGATTTCCCATCGAGAGCCTGAGGAAAACCTGAGGCACAGAGTGAAACAGTGAAGGAACACGGAGCCTCTTCCCAATAAAAAGAGTTCTTTCTCCAGCGCCCCGACTGCAGCACGCACAGGCGAGCGCTTGGCCCAGCTGTTCAGGCAATGAGGCGGACACGCATGTGGGAGCCCCAGGGGAACCAGCAGCAGGACCATGATGTGGAAAAGAAGGGTAGCCCGCAGGGCGCAGAGCACATAATGATATGTAAGGATGCAACAGATACTGCCTGCGCAGACCAGTGTGGCAACACAACAACGGGTACAGCGGCAGGAACAGATGGACCTCGTCTTCTCCCCCATCATCCTCCTCTTCCGCGTCACTGCACAATCGTCATCGCCATCGCCGTCTGCGCCATCGCCGTCGCACTGCCTGGTCGAGGTCCTAAGAACGCGCAAACGGGCGACGAGGGAGAGAGAGAGAGAGAGAGAGCGCAACGACCTCACGCGCTGGCTTCATCAAGCCGCCAGCGCGGCACACCGAGTGGAGAGAAGAAGGCCGCCTGCGCGCGAACGTACACGGGCAGCCTACGCGCGAACGCCCGCGGTGCCGACACTCCTTCCCGGCGCCGCCCAGCTGTCATCATCGGCATGTTCGATGCCGCTGCTGTTTTGCAGTGCGGGAGTCGCCGTTTCACCGCCACCACGCCTGGCCAGGGGAATTCTGGGCCCTGGCATGGTCTGCGCGCCTTTTGTGGCCAGGGCCAAAACGGTCTAGACCCCATCCTGGGCCCGCGATGGGCCTGGCAGGGGCATGGGCGCATCAATGCCTTCTGCGGGTGTGATGCCCGTGGAACGTCGCTGCTAACCCCAGCCACTGCCAACCCCAGCGGTGCTTGGTGCCGCCGCCTCAGCATGTCGATCGGGGCGCCGATGCGGAGCAACTGCCTGCGGGCGCGAGGATCAAGGTCTGCCGCCGGAGAGCAGAGAGAGCGCCGGCGGCGCGCATCGCGGGCCCGGAAGTGCGGCGGCCGTGGTCTGCCCCTCGGCTGCGAGCTGCCCTGCTGGGGCTTTGCACGGTTGAGTACGCCCCTGGGTGGTCACGAGGCTGCACTGGGGCGTTCCCAGCAAACAAAATACACACCGTTGTTCTCGGCCTTCAGCCGCAAGCGGCTGGGCCTTCGGGCAGCCCGCCGTCAACAACAGCAACGACAGCAACACAAACAACAATAACAACAACCACCACCACCACCACCACAACAACAACAACAACAGCAGCAGCAGCAGCAGCATCAGCAGCAGCAGCAGCAGCAACAACAACAACAACAACAACCACAACAACAACCAACAACAACCAACAAACAACAACACCAACAACAAAAACAACAACAACAACAACAACAACAACAACAACAACAACAACAACAACAACAACAATCATTTTACCCGAACGCTCAGTGTTCTCCCCAGTGCCAGGGTTTTCATGCGACGCCAGCCAATACCCCCACTTCGTGGGGGGGCAATGCAAGCTCTACCAAACATCCACACGACTCTCGGGAACCACCCACACCCAGCTTCCCGCCCTATGACGTCAGGACACTTCACTTCGTGGCGCGCGGACGATCGTGGATACTACACTGGCGTGGAGTACACACCCGCAGAGGTTGATCACTTGTTTGGGCCCCGCATGTGCCCCGCATGGTGCATTTGTTGCGTATGACATACATAGTACAGAGAGACAGAGAGAGAGAGAGAGAGCAAGACAGAGAGCCAGTGGAGAGAGAGATAGAAAGAGATTCGTCACATGTGTGAGGCAACCTGAGAAGATGTGGTACACGGTACACGTGAGATGGTACGCAGTGCCAAGATAGTTGGTCACATTTTTGAGGCAAATTCCTGGGAAGGCGATTACACAAGTAGATGTGTTACGTATGATAGATATGAAGCAGAGAAAGAGCGAGAGACAGAGAGAAGGAGAGAGAGGAGTCGGTCACATCTTTAGGGCAACTTCCTGAGGGATGTGGGAGGACACAAGAGAGAAGGCATCGTTGTCCCGATGGTTGTCTCGATGGTTGCCCCGATGGTTGTCCTGATGGTTATGGTTGTCCCGATCGTTATCCCGATGCTTGTCCAAACGGTTGTCCCGATGGTTGTCCCGATGGTTGTCCCGATGGTTGTCCCGCTGCGATGCAATGTTGTCTGTTTCTGCTGTTATACAGTCCCAAGGATGACGCACGCATTGCTCATACACTGGTGGCGCTGTGATCCTAACTCTCACTGCCCAACGCGCGCGTGCACAGCCAGACGGAGGGAGAGAAAGTACACAAGGTTCGTGACATACGCACGGTCCACCATGTTCTAAACGATCACATGCACGTTTAGTTCTGAAATTATACATATGTACAAGCAGACATGCGAGGGAGACAGGGAGATGGCCATCGACAGTTCCAATACGGCTCCGAGGCGCAAGAGGGGGGGGAGGAGCAGGACAAGGAGGAAAGGAGAGAAGCGAGAAAGGAATAACGCAGACGGCGCGGCTCTGGACACAAAGGGGTGCCATACTTTCTCCTGCTTTCGCAAACAGGTCCAGTCACACGTAGGAGTATACTCACCCAGAAGCATACTAAGGCGACTCGTCGTCTGCGACGTCGCAAAGGCGCTTGGGTACATGGCTGCCTGGCTGATGCAGGTGCGGGCCTGGCTGATACCCGTGCGCTCCCAAATGCCCAATGATATTGCCGATACGCCTGCTGGCGAGAGAGCCGGGGCTTGCATACGGCAGTGCTAACGCGAGCACGTTGTGGACCTGCGGTGGCAAGGCCGGGTAATCGAGCATGTTCGGATACTCGTCGCTCTGACCAAAAGACCGCCATACGGGCAACCACCACCACTGGTCTTGACGCGGATACTTCATCTCTGGGCCGACCTCAGGGGATACGTTCCAAATGGCCATTTTCTGCGGGTCCGTACCCATGAAGGCCGCGTGATACGCAATGAATACGTCCAAGGTGGCGAGGGCCCTGTAGGAGAGGCCGGATACGATCTCCGCATGAATGGGAATAGCGAGCTGACCGAGCAAATACCGCATACTGCTATACACCCACTGGCCCGGGTGGACGAAGAGGTTGGCTTTCCAGGCGACGATACCTCGCGCGGTGCACAGCGTGTCGAATACGTGCAGAAGGTAGCCAATGGGCTTCCCAAGCCTCTCATCCTGGAATACCGAGAAGTTCCCGAATACCGCGTGCGCGTAGAAGAAGGCGTCGAAGTAAAGCCACTCCGGCTCGGGGATGCCCCCCATACTGTGCTGGTAGTCCGGGTCGTTGTTCGTCTTCGACTGCCTCGTGGACATAACGCTCGATACGGCGAGGCATACGCCCTTGACACCCTCCCATAGAATAGGGAAGAAGATACCGCACGCGAACCACCTCTCCGAACCACACTGCTTGAGCCAGCGCCGCGCATACGCCTCTACGGATATGAGCGTGAGAGGAAGGGGGGAAGCCTCCTGGGGCCGCTGGGGGTCCTCTTGGGGAAGGGGGGAAGCCTCCTGGCGCCGCATGGGGTCCTCTTGAGAGGCTTTGGGGGGCTTCTTGAAAGCATGTTGGGGCCTCTTGGGGGCTTATTGGATCCTCCCGGAGGACTCTTGGAGCCGCTTGGACGCCTCCTGGGGCCATCTTGGGGGCCTCTTGGAGCCAACTTGGAGCCTCTTTGGAACCTCTTGGGGGCCTCTTGGAGTCCTCTTGGGGCCTCTTGGGACCATCTTGGGCGCCTCTTGCGGCCTCATGGGCGCCTCTTGGGGCCATCTTGAGCGCCTCTTGGGGCCATCTTGGGTTTTAAAGATTCATGAAGAGCCCGCGGGTGGATTTTGATATTTTTCGGATGAGAAAGTCTTGCGTTTGCATATGTTTTCGGAACATCGCATCTTGAAATTATTGAAATCACATTATGTTTGGCAGGATTTCGGCACGCGCGCGCGGCGGCCGCGCGCATGTGCACTTCGTGTCATTTTTTGCAAGGGATGGTGGCCCTCGTAGGCTCGCAACCGTTGTTGCAGAAGGTCGAAGCACCTGAAAAGGTTCCTCGCAAAGGCCCTTTTAACAGAAATGTTTAAAATCTGGTGGGTTTCCTAGGAATCCGCAAGAGCGCGCGGAAGGACATTTTGACAATTTTTTCTGAGAAAACCATTGGGTTTTTGATGTTTTTATGTTAAAATCGCTACGAAACCTAAGGTTTTGGAAGGATTTCGTCTTGCGCGCACGAATGTCCACTTTACCTTATTTTTTGCAAGGGATTCTTGCAATTTGATCAAGTAAAAACAAGAATTTTCATTTTCTATTGTTTTTTGCAAGGGAAAACGAGCGTCAACAAAAAACCGGATCCGGAGCTCATCCACTTTTCTGAAGCTTTCGCGAAAAAATGATGAAAATGTAGCTGCGGCCTAGGCGCGGCGCAGAGGTCGCGCACCAGGGGTCCCAACAATAATAATTCTTTAGAAGGAATAATGTTCAATCACTTTACCCGAACGCTCAGTGTTCTCACCAGTGCCAGGGTTTTCATGCGACGCCAGCCAATACCCCCACTTTGTGGGGGGGCAGTGCAAGCTCTACCAAATATCCACACGACTCTTCGCCACCACCCACACCCAGCTTCCCGCCCTATGACGTTCGGACACTTCACTTCGTGGTCGGCGGACGACCGTGGTTACTACACTGGCGTGGAGTACACACCCACAGAAGTTGTTAAGCCTACGTTCGTACACCCACAGAAGTTGTTAAGCCTTGTTAGCCCACAGAAGTTGTTAAGCCTTCCACTGAACATCTGTTGCATATGATGCATATGGTACATGATACACATGATACACATGATACGTACTCACAAGATAGTTGATCACATATTTAGGGCAAATTCCTGAGGGATGTGGGAATACACAAGAGAGAGAGGATATGGTTGTCCCGATGGTTGTCTCGATGGTTGTCCCGATGGTTGTCCTGATGGTTGTGGTTGTCCCGATCGTTGTCCCGATGATTGTCCCGATGGTTGTCCTGATGGTTGTGCTTGTCCCGATCGTTGTCCTGATGGTTTCCTGATGGTTGTCCTGATGGTTGTCCGGATGGTTTCCTACGAATCCGCAAGAGCGCGCGGGATGAGATGTTGACAATTTTTTGTTGAAAAACCATTGGTTGTTTGATGTTTTTATGTTAAAATCGCTGCGAACACTAAGGTTTTGGAAGGGTTTCGTCTTGCGCGCGCGAATGTCCACTTTACCTTATTTTTTGCAAGGGATTCTTGAAATTTGATTATGTTAGAACAAGAAATGTCATTTTCTATTGTTTTTTGCAAGGGAAAGCGGACTACAACAAAACAACCGGATCCTGTACACACCCTCTTTTCTGAGGCTTCCTCGCGGAAATGATGAAAATGTAGCTGCGGCCTAGGCGGCGCGGGGGGGGCGCGCACCAGGGGGCCCAACAATAATTATTCTTTAGAATAAATAATGTTCAACAACAACACCAACACCAACAACAACAACAACAACACCAACAACAACACAACAACAACAACAACAGCAGCAGCAGCAGCCGCAGCAGCACCAACAACAACAACAACAACGACGACGACGACGACGACGACGACGACGACAACAACAACAACAACAGCTCGGACGGCACATCGCCATCGCAGTCGCCTTGCGCACGCCCCGCGTCTCGGAGGAGGAAGAGGACGAGGAGGGGAGGGAGGATGAGGGAGAAAAAGAGGGAGAGGAGGAGGAGAAGGAGGAGGATGGAGGAGGAGGGGGAAGGAAGAGTAGTTGCAGTAGCAGTACCTCCGAGGACGAGGTGGTTCCCACTCCTCGTTCGAACTAGTACGCCCTCATCCTGCGGCCTCGGCGCGTGGCCCTGAACGTTCACGCCCCGAGACGCTGCAGCCCCCATGCTCGCATCCTC